CTAAATTATAAGTTGGAGAACTTTGTGTTATGATGAAAGTTGATTAGGTATTTGATTGTAGAGATGTTATAAAGTTGATTGAAAGTTGATTTCATGCTTGAATCGAATCAAAATCGAGCAAAATCATGGAAAAACTAGTTTTTGATCTTTAAATCATTAGGCTTTGGTCTTAAAGGATGAGAAAAATTATGGAAAAATTATATAATATCTGGAAATGATGTAGAAAGTATTTTACAAGCTTTGGAAAAAATCAAGGACCATTTTGTAATTTTCGAAAAGTTGAGGGACCAATTCATAATTTTGAAAAAAAGTTAGGAATGGTTCTATAATTGTCTAATAGTTGATGTAATATGCTGGAAATGTTATTTTGGGATTGAAACGAGCATTTAGAAGTGAAATATGACCATTTTAGAAGTTTAAAAGGATTGTTGATTTAAATGCAACAATTACATAATTGGGGTGATTAAAGTTAATTGTACCTTTGTAAAAGTAATTGGTTGGTGATAATTCCATTACTGGAATTTATGGAATTTCTCGAATTTATGGAGTTACTGGAATTTCTGGAATTTTTGGTATTTAAAATTTAAGTGATAAAATGGTGAATGACCATTTTATATAAATTGGAAAAGTTGGTACCAATATTAAAAAGGAATTATTAAGTGTTAAGTATTTTTGATAGAAAATGAGTTTCAAGTATATTATGGATTTTGTTTTAGGGATGTATTTATGTTAGTACAATACTAACATATGTATCGTTATAAAATTGTGATTTGTACATATTGTGATTGATTTGTGACTAAGACAAGTCAAGTATAAAAGGATTGTTGTGGATTATATTGAGGAACATCGTTTGGATATATAAAGTGTCAAGGTGAGTGCAATTTAATTTGTACTTGTGTTATTGGAAAAATATTGGCTTGCGATGAGCCAGTGACGGAGTTACTATGGTAAGAAGTGACTCCTAAAATATTATTTGATTTGTGATGCATGCATAATATTATATATGAATGTTTTGTACATCATTGGGTAGTATTTGCAATAAGTCTATTTCCCATGTTGGAATGCATGATTCCATAAGTACAAGCATGTGATTAATATGGTGCTTATATGTGACATGATTTACATGATTACATGTATATACGATATGTGATACTGAACTACATGAATATATGAGAATATGATATCAGTTGTGTGATATGTTTGACATGTTATTTTATGTGACATGATTGATGTGAACATATGAGAATAAAATATGACATACATGTTTATATGAACACATGAGAAATGATATAAGCTATATGATACGATCTACATGTTACATACACATGTGATATATTTGATATGATATGAACCTATGTGAGATGGGTTATATGAAAAGGGATCTATGAGATCATACAAGAATGATACAAGTGATGTGAACTATTATAAATGATAATGCCCATGTTATGTGATATAAGAGCTAGTGGTATAGTTGGCATGCCAAGAGTCGAGGGTTACATCATTCGGGATGACAGGTCATCCGGGACACAGATTACATCCTTCGGGATGACAGGTCCTTCGGGACACAGATTACATCTTTCGGGATGATCGGTCCTACGGGACATAGATGACATCCTACAGGATGATAGGTCCTTTGGGACACAATTTATATGAGCTGTAGTGACAACATATGTGTGCACAACCTCAAAGTACTCGCATACCTTAAGTTCTCAATACTGTACATGGGCTAATGCATAGATAATACATGGGCTAATACATGGGCTAATGCATAGATAATACATGGGCTAATACATTGACTAATACATGGGTTAATACATGGTCTTATAAAAGATATCAGTACGGTACATGGGATTACAAAGGACATCAAAAGTATACATGGAATAATATATGGATTATTAAAAGAAATAACATAAATACACTATATGTGATGCATATGCTTGGTTATATGAAATACATTACATGATTTATATGTGATATTGCGTGTATTGCTTAGTTAAATGTATTATATGATATGTTACAAATGTTAAGTACAAGATGACATGTTTTAAATGGGTTCATGATAATGATATTGATGTTGAGAATGATAGAGATCATTATAATGATGTCATATGTACATGTATGCATTTTGTTATGTGAAATGTTCTATTGTTTCTATTCTATGTTTTATATGTCTCACTAAGTCAATGACTTAGCGTGTAATTGTTTCACACGTAGGATCCGAGAAGAAGAAGAATGATAAAAGTTAAGCAAGACAAATCAGTTTCTCCTTTCCAGAGATCAGATCAGAAAAGAATTGAATAGTATGTATTTTGTAAACTGATTATAGTTGGCATGTAATTAAAGATTTGAATCCGCTATGCGCTAATAAGTTTTAATAAACTCTTATGATTTTATTTTATGAAAATTATTCATTCATATTTAGTGAAAGTTTTAAAATTATTCATTATTTTATACAAGTAAATGTTTTGAAAAGTCAATGTGACACCTCAGACTCGTATCCGGGTCGGGTACAGGTTGGGGGTGTTACAATTATATTTGATCATCTGTTGGAAAATCTTTAACCACAAGGATTAAACGAAGAAATTATTATATGTCATTTATACAAAATAATTCCAGCTTTGTTGGTGACTTTCAACAATGATACTTAGTTCATTTTAGTAGTATTTGTCAACTTTGTATTTCTAGCAAAACTTAGTTATGCTGGAAATTAGAAGAGAGAAACGAAAAAGGAAATTTGAGATTGAAAATGAATTTGGGGTTTAGAATGAAATTGAGGACTATGTTGCAAGTTATAAAAGTTAGGGGACCTAAATGCAAGCGTCTGAAAAGTTCAGTGACCATATTACAAACGTACTAACGACAATGTAACGTCGGGGACCATAATACAAAGGGACTAAATATTAGGGGACTGTATTGCAAGTTTTAAAAGTTGGGAGAACTAAATAAAAACTTTAGAAAAGTTCAGTGACAATTATTATATTTTATCCTTTTATTTAATAGTATTTTAAGTCTTTATCTATTTAAATTTAGGTAAAATTAGATATTTTTCGACCAATTTTTTAGATTATACGTAATAAATCTTTATTATTTTAAACTTAGGTATTTTATCGCTCTAAATATTTGATCCCAACTTTGTTCTTGTCGAAGTGGGAACCAAATGCTTGAAAATGATGTTTTTGTAATATTTGCTGCCCCGTGTAACTTAATTGGGTTGCTAATATGAATCATTATCACTGGATTTTTCTGTTTTTTTTTTCCTTTTGTAGGAAGAAATTTAAAGAGACAGACACATAGAGCCAAAGAGGAGAAAAAAAAAATCGGTCCCGTCCCCGTTTAAATCCCCGACTTCTCACACAAACTCTCTCCTCTCAAACTAACGCATTATTCACAGAAATGAAATGTGCTCAACTTTGTATTTGCTTTATTCTTAACGTAATATTAGATTATATTTTGATATCTCATTCAAATAAAAAATTTAATTTTTATTTATTGTTTATGTATTATATAATTTACTGCCAAGTGATGTAATAAAATATTATGTGTTGCTCGAGTAGGTTTTAATACGATACAAGTTAATATTTACGTGAGAATTATGATTTTTTAGTCATCTACTTTCTTAAACTTCATTTTAATTTTTTCTCTCAGCCATTCGATCAAAAGCAAAATTCAACCATGTATCAAAGATAAAGATTAAATTAGATTATTCTGCCAAATCAAATCTAATCTAATCCTATTCAATCCAATTTTACCTTGTATAAACGTTATCTTGTATAAACTATTGACTTTCCGTATTTTTGTATAATTTAATTTCCTTGTAATCCTATATTACTCATCACTTTGAAAATTTACAACTATCAAATACATAAATCCTTTACCCTGATAAACATATGTGGATATACTTATGTATATGATAGTTTCAGTTTTAGCAATGTTAGCTAATTATTTAAAATCTGGATTATAAAAATTAACATGTATAAATACAAATGTAAGAAATATATAAAATAAAGCATAAAATAGCAATATATGAAAATACATACACATATATCTTCAATAGCTTATAAAATTGGAAATTTTAAAACTTAATATCAAACTCATTTTCCATTTCATTTCATATATTAATTACATAATTGATAAATAAATAGAGTAATTAATACATACATACATACATACATATATATATAATTATCACCAACTTGAAAGGTTGGAGCGGGCCATGATACATACGAGAAATATATTTAAGAGTCTTTACATCACATTAATCTTTATCAATTATGGCTAGGAGGGGAATTTTCAAAACCATTAATCAGTATTGAAACTTATAAATAAATCATTAATATCATATACACTGCAAAAATAATAAAAACAAAAACTTTAACTGTTAAAAATATAAGGATTCGAGTATTTAATTTGTTTAGAAAAATAATTACACGTAAACCTAAAAGAGACGGAGAGGGAAGAGATGGTTGCTTAACACATAAGAAGTTTACGTGAAGAAATGGAGAAATGGTTGCTACATAACACAACAAGTTTGGTGCAAAACACCAAAATTTTGTTTGATTGAAAATTGTTGTTTCGTATTTTGTATGCTACGGTATTGTATAACTTCACCTATTATTTATTGGCTGTGTTGTAGCTTCAACAGTGCTCCAGTTTGACATTGGAGCTAATTAAAAGAGCTTTCTCATGAGGTAAAATGTCTTGGGAAAAATACCTATAGCTTTGTCTTCTCCACCCCTCTCTCCTTATTATTCTTTTTTTTTACAAAAATATTAAGATTTTAATCCCCAACTTACTGAAAATTAAACTGGCCTTAATGTTTATAGCAAGCCGGAAAGCAAGGTCCACGAATACATTTATTCTGTTAAACAATCGTATCTACATTAGCATAACCAAACTTGGCGTCCAAGCAACATTTATTGTATTATTTTTCTCAAGAAAAGGATTAAAATGAATACATCCCATTCTCTCCTTTAAACTCATTTCTCTGTCTTTTCTTCTTCTTCTTCCAAGACCTAGGAGGCTATAGCAGACACCAGCAATATACTCTCAATCATAAGCAGCAAATTTGAGAAAGGGAGTTCAAAAAAGCGTGGAAGATTTAAATTCCTTTGCCCGACATATCAAGAAAGTGAAAGTGGGTAATTGAAAACGTGCTCTAAAAGAGACAATTTTTGCTTTACTTGTTTATTTTTTTTGTTTTGTTGTTTTTTGTTAAATCTTGCCAGAATTTTCGAATGTGGGTGTTTGACAAGTGGGGAAGATGGTGGAACCGGACATCAGCTTTGTGATGGGAGTAAGATGATCAGAAGAAGAACCGGAGAGATGTCATGGTGCAATAACCCAGACGATGGCACAAGTGCTCTAAACATAGTTACAGCAGTCGCCCCCGAAGAACCCTCAACCACCGTCGCCTCCACCTCCGCCGTTCCCTACCCCAGAATCCATGAAATCCCAGCCATTATTTGCCCTTCATGCGGCTATAACATACCTTACCAAGACCAGGTACCTGTTTTAATCATAATATGCATACTTTTGCTCCCATCTGGTTTGATCTACTAATTAGGTATTCTCATCTTTTGTGGGGTTAGACGGAAATTCATGATTTGCCAGGGTTACCAGCGGGGGTGAAGTTTGATCCAACTGACCAAGAAATTTTAGAGCATTTAGAGGCCAAAATAATATCTGATCTGCGCAAGCTTCATCCCTTGCTTGATGAGTTCATTCCAACGCTGGAAGGAGAAAATGGGATTTGTTATACTCATCCAGAGAAGCTCCCAGGTTCTTTGATTCTTTAGTTTTAGCTCAAAATTTCTCTTTAAATACATTACCTTTTCATTTTTGTGTTGAATTTTCTACTTTTGCTTTTAGGGTTATATCAATCATCCATCTCTCTCTCTCTCTCTCTCGGTATCTATTTATCAATTTATGCATACATATATTTGGTTTGGGATCCAGCAAAGATCTATGTTGGTATAGATGAAAACATAAAGCGTTAATGCATTTTTTGAGAATCCAGTTAAGTTTATTGCAAGGAAATTACCTAAGTCGGTTACTACTAGCTAACAAGCGTGTTGCTTGGGTGGCCTAATTACGTGAGATCCTTTGGTTCTACTTGATCACCAAACATGTGATTAGGGTTAGATATCTTCCATGCTACCTTAATCCTATGATTTAGGCATTGCTCTTCATCATTCAATGATCTGAATGGACCTAATGGTGCAGGAGTGAGCAAAGATGGCCAAATTCGACACTTTTTTCATCGACCCTCGAAGGCATACACGACCGGGACAAGGAAGAGAAGAAAAGTTCAGACGGACGAAGATGGGAGCGAAACAAGGTGGCATAAAACGGGCAAGACCCGAGCAGTTTCAGTTGGTGGGATAGTGAAGGGTTTCAAAAAGATCTTGGTTCTCTACACCAACTATGGCAGGCAAAGGAAGCCCGAGAAAACAAACTGGGTAATGCATCAATATCACCTCGGCAACAACGAAGAAGAGAAAGATGGAGAGTTAGTGGTTTCAAAAGTCTTTTACCAAACTCAACCTAGACAATGCGGTCCAAGTAGTAGTAATAAGTACGTGCTCGATAGAAAGTTTAAAAACCGAAGCCAGCATCAAAGTCCGATTATGGCGCCCAAGAGTAGCAGCAACGCTGGTATCGTTGAATATAACAATCCATCTTTTGTTTCATACGGTGATGGTGGGAGTCACCACCATCATAGAGAAAGCCCACCACAGCTAATCCCAAATCTGCTTGTTCATGGTGATGGATCCTCGTTTATTCGATTAACCTCTGATACAAGCAAAGGGAGACTTGAAAGAAAATAGGATCAATGGGAAAGATGAGCAGCCACGACAAGGACTTAACTGGTTGTTATGTAACAGTCAAATAAATTATGAGATTGTGATTTTTTGCCGAGGAAAGGGAGCGAATATGGAAGAATAAGGTGAATGTCTTCTTTTCTTAAAGATTAAAGAGTCGGATGATTTGGAATATTTGCCCATGATCACACCACGCACTTCATCGCAGCTACATGACATTGGCAAACATATTTATATATTTTTTTACCTTACTTTATCCCTTTATATAATGTTTGATGACATTTTATAGTAGGACTGCACAAACATGACTCCTATACAAACTTCTACTGATAGTCCCTACAGTGTTAATTAGGTTTATCAATTATCATATATTATATATGTAACCTTTTTTATTCTGTCGTGTATTCTTTTTTGTCAATGCAAATCTGAATCTTCCAACTAAAGTTTGTTCTCTCAAACACCATCTCTGGCTTAATACAATTGTCAATATAGATTTTGCTCCTATTCAACTGTCGTAGAAAAAAAACGACAATAAAAAAAGAAAAAGAGAAACGATATATCAATTAAACTATTTAAACAAAATATCGAAAAACACGAAACATCGTTAGATTAACTACGGATGTAAAGTTCTATTGGAGCAATAAAATTATTCTCTTCTCCCAATAGATAATCGTAAAAAAATTCTATTGCTCTTGTTGCTTTATTTCACTTAAGTAAAATCTCGAGTTTGAGTCTTTATATATGCAAAAAATTCTTATTAGAAGAAACACCCACCAAAATTAAATGTATGACATGTGTCGATCCGGATTAGTTAATACAGAGCTTTGGAACCGGAAGTGCAACAAAAAAATCATATTTAATTGAAACAATTAATGTTACGCCATACAGTAACGTAAAAATTTCCAACACATTTAGTCACGTAATATTCCAGCACAGTGTCTTAGTAGTGGAATAAGATATGAAAAACTGGACTTTAATCATTCATTATGAGCCCAGCCCACTGCAAATGAGGATTGAAATCCCAAAACTGATACTATAAGATGGCGTTTGGTTCGCAGGAATATCTTGGAATTAGGGGAATTGGAATCCAATTCTACCAATTTCTCATGTTTGGTTCAAGTTTTCAAAGGGAATTGGAATCCTTCGTGACTTCAACTTTCCATCAAATGAGGGAAAGTGAATTCCATCCATTCTATGATGGAATTCAATTCCCTTGTTGGAGGGAATTGAAATTTGACCATACTACCCTCATCAATTTTTTGGTAACTTATTCATATATTGAATAAAAATATTTTTTTATTATTTCGGGTCGGGTTGGGTTTCTAATTCATATATTCGGGTCGGGTCGGGTCGGGTGAAACTTTATTTTGGTCGGGTCAGGTCGGTTTTTTTAAGTGTGATATTTGGGTCGGGTCGAGTTCGGGTTTAGGGTGAAAAACACCCGACCCAACCCAAAAATATATATAATAATTTACCTTATATATTTAGGAATAATTATAATAATGCCCCTCTATATATAATTTTTTTCAATTAAGTCATTGTTTTTATTGAATAAAAATATATTTTTTTTTATTTCGGGTTGGGTCGGGTGAAACTTTATTTTGGTCGGGTAGGGTCGGTTTTTTTAAGTGTGATATTCGGGTCGGGTCGGGTTCGGGTTTAGGGTGAAAAATACCCGACCCGACCCGACCCAAAAAATATATAATTTTACCTTATATATTTAAAAATAATTACAATAATATCCCTCTATATATAATTTTTTTTCAATTAAGTCATTGTTTTTATTGAATACAAATAATTTTTTTATTACTTCGGGTCGGGTTTCTAATTTATATATTCGGGTCGGGTTGGGTGAAACTTTATTTTGGTCGGGTCGGGTCTTGGATGGAGGTTCTCTTGTTCTCGGGTCGGGTGGACCAAAAACCCGACTCATGTCCATCCTTAATTGGGATGATTTTTTTATAATTTATTGAAATGAATAATCAATCAATAAAATTAAAATTTAAAATTTTTTAAATTTTTATAATATATTGCTATATGTAATTTATAAAACAAACTAAAATTAAGTAAAAAAAAAAGAATGACAATTCTGTCATTTTAAATTACTGAAATCAAATTCATCTGACATGTCTGCGAACCAAACAAAATATGAAATTGTATTCCAATTTAATTTCCTGCCAACCAAACAGAATATGGAATTAGATTTCAATTCCTTCACAGATTCTAATTCCCTCATAGACATTTCAACGAACCAAACGCCACCTAAGTTTCCCCGCAACAATATAATAAGTTGGAATTGAAACAGTGAATGATTAGAGGAAGTTTATAAAATATCCGAATGGTTTACGTAACATAAAGGCGGATAATAGTTGACTTAGGGAGAGCTTTTCAATTTGCTTCTTAATTAGAGCTCAAGTTTGTTACAGATATGATTGCAGATACAAAGGATTTAAACCTAACACGTGCAGTTTATTGCTTGAACATCATATTAATATTTTAATCAGATTATTTATTTATTGTTGAGGTTGGGGGGATGAGATTTGTTAAACTGAGGAATATCTTTTGTGTAGGAGAATTGATCACAAAAAGAGGCCTCTAGATTTTTACCTACACTTGCTTGGCAACTATACGTGTGTGACTGGTGGCCTGTTGGATGGATAGTAGTATCCCATAATTCACGTGCACAACCGTCGATCCTTTGAATAAGGCCACCTAACCAGGTCTATGTGATGTGATTTAATCTTGTGTTGTGAATATGGAATCAATTAATTTGTTCTCTGCACCCATCCTCGTGCATCCTTAATCAAATTTACAAAGTTTTTTTTATTAAATTACTTTAACGTCATCACAATAACAGCAGCAAAACAAACAAAAACAGACGCATAGTGGAATCTGCAATACAGATACATAGGCCACATCCTTAAAACACTCAAATATTCGATTCTGCAGCATTATCATCAGCTTCAATTCTGCATAAATTAGGTGAAAAAATATGGTGGTTGATTGCTTGGTTTTATTCGATTTCTGGTTAATTTTTTGAAAGATCAAACAACTCGAATCTTGAAAGACTTTCCTAGTTCAGGTTTCCCTTATGGAAATCCATATCCATAATCCTTCATCCCCAAACAAAACATAACGACAAAAATGAAAAACCCCAAAAATAATTTTATCCTACATCTTTTTTTTTAATTTAAAAAAAGGTAACTCGGCATGAAGTTTACATCAATTTGAGTTCACCCGAAAGAACTCTTTTATATGAAGGAATGTATAAATCGTGAAAGAGAAGTCCTTTGTCTCTGTCACAAGTTCTTCTCATAGCCATAAAGCACCAGCTTCTTTCAAAATAGGGACCAATTCACCTGTAATATGCGTAGACATGATCCTATCCAAACCGCCAAACAACTTCCCCCCCACGAATACAGCCGGGAATTGAATCCCACCACTGTTGATTATCGATAGTTCATTAAGCACGGCCTCTTCCTTCCCTTCGTCGACTTCGCAGACCGCCGGATTCACCCCAAGCCCTAGTAGCAGCCTGTTCACGACATGGCACATGCAGCAACCACGTCTACCGAAAACTATCACCGCATTCTCTAACACCAATTTCGTTACGCTAGTACCGCTACCGTTGGTAACCAATCGACGACCCCCGTCATTAACAGCGCCTTCAAGGAAATTGTGAAGCCGCGAACGGGCAGCCATCTGTGATTTATAAGGAATTGCTTCTTGCATGGAATATAATATATATGAATTGGAAAGGGGGAAGCGGAGATTTTGGTGTTGTTATGAGAGTATATAAATGGGGAGAGGACTCAAACGTCAACGCCAGTAACGCAATCTGGTACGTCAAGGGGGCGAGGGTGATGTTGGCGTACGTCACCGCTCTTGGTAAACGGATTCCAAGCAAATTGAGAAGTTCCCATATTGAACGTGACATTTCCTTTTATCTTTTACACTGCGTGTCTAGCAAAAAAACCATGACCAAATACATTGATTTCTCGATGGCAATCACACCTTCGCTTCGCTCGATGCAAAAATACCATCTACACAAATATTAAATTTATTCAAAAACTTATTATTTATATAATTTATTTGATAAAATTGATTTAAAAAAATTAAATAATAAAATAATTACATTTATTTATATACTATCATTTATATTTCAAACATAAATTAAACTCTAAAATACGAGCCCAACTTTTTCGATCACTAATAATTTAATGGATTAATGGTAGAAAATAATAATGACTTTGAAATTAAACTCTAAACCTTAAACTAATTTTTTTTTATCGAGGACGTTTCAAGGAAAGGGAAATTTAATGCATAATTACATTTTTTAATTGAAAGGTTACCGCGGTGTCCAAGTCTTCAAGTCAACAATCAGCATAAAAAAAATTACCATACAAATATCTAAACATCATTACTTAATTTATTACGTACTACAGATGGTCCAACATAAAAAGAATTACCATACAAATATATAATGAATTAATTTACCTACTACAGATGGTCCAATTTACTAGCTATATCTACGTCAGCATAAATACAAAATTTATCATGGCGTCACAGTTTAAATCAAAAAGAAAAATTTATTACATAAATCCTTCTCAATGTATCAGCATTTTTATAAAATTATATATATATATCAATCATGAATCCATCCAATAAATTAGTCTTATTAATATATTAAATGATAAATATAACATATTAAACATTAGATGATAAAATAATGCTCAAGTTAATGCGGGAGTTCTCAAAGCACAATGTTGGAGGTGTCAAAGGGATAAAATATGACGTGAAATAAGAAATAAATAAATTGTGTTGGTCGGATAGGCTGAATGACAAATGCAGCAATGTGTTAGTGGCGTGATGGACTCGTTGGACGGCATCTGGTGTTGGTGTGGATAACATTAAAGATCCACCTAATGGTCATCTGATGTAAGACCTGTCCCCTTCCCACACGTGTAAGATCTGGTCATTTCATGATATTCGATAATGCAGATGGGACCCGACCTGATGTGGATATTAATTTATTTCATTATTCAAAATAATAACAAGTTTGTAGTTGGAAATTGAAAACTACCACCGTATATTTCTAATTTTTTCCCCAGATTTATAATGTTTTTAGTTGTCAACCACGTGATTCATGGCCTGCATCGAGATTTATTTCATTATTTTTATATGATTTTAAACTATTTGGTATACAAATTAGACGAGAAATTTAATTTTCGAATCGGTATAAATGGCTTCTATTATTGATTTTATTAGGTAAATAACTCTAATACGTAAGTATTGTTTATATTGATATTGTAATTGTTGCTTGTTGACGGAAGAATAAGAGATTATTTGCAAAGGAAAACGTAATTAAGATTAATATTTAAAAGATTTAGGGGTTGTTTGTTTACTTCAGAATGATTAAGTGCTGAATGATTTAGAGGCTCTGTATGAATTAACTCTGAATGTGACATACTGTTTAATAATAGCTCTGAATAATTCAGAATATACTTTGATGCTGAATCATTCAACACTGAATCATTCAGAGATGAGAAACAAACACGCTCTAAATTATTCCATTCATAGTCAAACAAACAACCCCTTACTTTTTTACTCCGACGGAATGGAAGGGTATATTCCATTCTTTTGTTTATGCGTACTTATATCTTTGATGACTAATTGAGCTGATCATAATTCAACAACATTAAACTATGATTCATGGGCTGATGACATTGGCATATTTGGAAATTAAGCTTCATGTCTGCTAGTTAATCAAATTTAATATTCCTCAAATTGTTAATGTTTCTTTTATTTAATAATTAAGGATTATGGGAGGTTGTTTTGTCCCCCTTAAAGAAAATACTGTTCTTAGTCCTATTAATGATAAAGCAAGACTAAAGTTGGGGTAAAGAATCACTCACTCTCGATGATATTATTAATTAAAGTAATTAAATAAAAAATGAACTTCAATTTATTTGATATTATTATTATTATTATTATAATATATTAGAAGTTATAGTATTATGATTTGAGAGGTTATAGATAATTTAATAACAAAATGATTTTTTTTATTAATTTGAGTAAGTACAATATAATATATTTCAAAGATAATTCTTAATCTTTTGATATTAAACAATCACATCCTTGATATTTCTAATGCTCGAACCTAAATCTTCAATGGATAACATCAATTCTTTTATCATCTACGTCAGTTGGATTCATGCAATAACAAAATGAAAATTGAATCCAAAGGAAATTTAGTTTAAAAAATAAAAAGGCGGGTCCATCCACACTATGAATGGAGGGCGGTAACGAAGTGGTTTTTTCTTGCCCAATAATCAAACAAGATATGAGTAGAGATCAGAACAGAAGCTTCGGTTTTCAATTTATTCAACCAAACCAATGTAGCTGTCAAATGTTCACAGCTGCCAGCGCACATATATACACCGACAAATCTGGGTTTGACTGTTTCTCCCACGATTCCCCTTTGCTTTAAATATATGAACAGTGTTATTTAAGATATTAACACAACAAAACCACTATTATATCATTTACTATAAGATGGAATAAGAATTTCATATTGTATTCTTTAATGTTAAGTTGTCTGACTATAAATCATTCTAATAACATTATAGAATAATACCCCAAGCATAAAGGTTGGTACAGGGCTGTAAACAAGATATAATTGTAACACCCTAACCCGTACCCGACCCGGATACGAGTCTGAATTGTCACATTGACTTTTCAAAACATTTACTTCGACAAAATATAATAAAAATTCAGTTCGACATTTTCAATAAACTAAATAATTTCTATTGTATAAAACATATGGTTTTACAAAACTTATCAGAGCATATCCGACACCAATCTTTTATCTTACATGCCAACTACATTTCATAAAATAAAATACATATAATTCAAGATTTTTTTGATCTGAACTACAGGAAGGAGATGCTGACCTGACATGATTATCTTCGATCCCTTTTTCCTCTTCTCGGAACCTACGTGTGAAACATTCACACACTAAGTCGATGACTTAGTGAGGCATAAAACGTATAATAGAACTCTAACGCATGATCATGCATGAACAATTTCTACTAACATATTATATACAAACATAATACACATATATATACACCTATCATTTCCATACTAATTCCTACTATGCACATTTCATATATTTATTCTAAATTGTCTAACACATTATTCACCAGTACATAAATACATATATATCCACTTTATACCAACTCATATATTCTTTTATAAAACATTTACCTATATACACATATCATCATTTACAAATTTATCATACTCTTATACTATTATCATTTATATCTCTTATCTCTTTATTCCTATGTTCTCTTACATTCATATTATATATCTCATAACAGATTCTAATATCATTATATAAGTCATTTATATTCATTCACATAAACATTAACATACATTCATGTGTATCATGTAACAGATGCAATCACCCATAACACACATATATCATATTATACAATTCATATCACACATCATATGTATATATTACATACGTTGTATTCAAAGTTATCTTTTCATTAGCCCATGTACACATGTGAGAACTATAGATATGTGAGTCTATAGAGGTTGTGCACTAATGTTGTCACCAAAGCTCGTATAAATGCACCGAAGTGCCACGTAGAATTGCACCGTAGTACCGCGTAGAAATGCACCTAAGTTCCATATAAGGTTGTCCCTAAGGACCACGTATAAAATTCCTTAAGAATCATATACATATGCCAAGGATCAAGTATGTGTTTCAAAAGACCTCACACATGTTCCAAAGAATACATATATGTCCCGAAGGACCGCGTAGACCATCGACTCTTGGCATGCCAACTATACCTCTAGCTCTCGTGACACATAACATGGGCACTAATATTTATGTTATTACACATTCAAATATACACACATAGTCTCATTATTACATTTTTATAAGATCACACGTAGTCAAGTAGTTCATTTCCATATAAATCACACATACACTTAGATCACTTGCACGTAGAACATCTTCATAAAACTCACATATCACATAGCTTATAACTTGTTATTATATCTTCTCATAACATATTATCTTATAGCTTTATGTCATATCATTCTCCCCACTTAATTTCACCTAATTCATAGTCATGTGGCTTATCTTATATACCTATATTCACATACCTTATAATTACCTAGTTTACTCCATTTCACACATAGTCACATATTCACAAAATTTACTTACACATAGATCATTTCTATACCTAAATCATATAACACCTAAATCTTCCTCATAAAGTTATACTATATATATTCATATAATCTCATATTATCCTATAAGTAAATACTTATCTTGTCTCACTTTTCCATTTATTCTCATAATTATTTATACCATAACATATAAGTTATATCACATATCTAATATTGTTTGTATACTAAGTTAATATATTTATTTAGTTTAATTTTACATAACTCCTATACCATAGTTTTCTTTAAGTATACTTCTTCTCTATAACACTTATATTATAGTTTGGTATCATCATTTATACTCAATTCCCTTCTGTAACACCCTGAACTGATACTCGACCCGGATTCGAGTCCGAGGTGTCACATTGACTTTCAAAAACATTTATTTGTATAAAATAGTGAGTAATTTAAAACTTTTATACATGTAACTTATTTAAAAGATTTCCAGAACTATTCAGAGCTTAAATGTTTTTACAAAACCGATCAGAGCATATACAATTCAAAACATTAATTACATGCCAACTATTTTCAATGTACAGAATACATCTAATTCAAAACATCTTTTCTGATCTGATCTTCGGTAAGAAGTAAC